TACATGTTGTACCTGTGTATGCTTGGGCCCCTTACAACGTCACACCAACTGTGATAGTTCCACCTTCCAAAGGAATGTTAGCATTTTATGTACAATAGGAATTGGTGGCCTTATAACCTATCGAATTATTGAAGGGCCCTTTAATGGGTTGCTTTTCCTTGATTATCTGAGAAAATTAGTAACAATTCTTCCAAATGATGCAATTATCATTATGGATAATGCCGCAATACACAAGTGTCATCTTATTGATAGCTATAAAAATCGAATTGAATATCTTCCGCCATATTCACCTCAATTAAATCCTATTGAAAACTTTTGCGGAGTCATGAAAAACAAATATAGGTCTATACCAAGGCCAAACAATAGAGATCAAATCATAAATAATGTTACTTCGATATTAAATCAGTACATTCCGTACGATTTTACAAACTTTTATATTCGTATGCATGATTTTTTGGAACTTGGTTTTCGGAAGCAACCAATCAATTAAAGGTAATATAAATTTATATAATATTTTAAATATATTTTTATCTTTTCTCTATTTATATAAAAATAAAGATGCCAATTTTGGAACACTCAAAACTAAACGAAAAGGCAATTTTAAAATATAATATTTTCTTACAAAATTAAATCATTATGAAAATTATTATTATTGTGTTTGTATTTGTAATTATAGATTATTATAATATATACAAAATAAAATATTCTTTGGTTGATAATTTTTATATTTCGTTCTTCTGAGCTCATTTCTATAGAAAAAAAAGAATGGCATTTACATTTATCTGCAATATAATTTAATTACTTTAAAGGTGGGTGGTGGCTGATTTTAAGTTTAAATTCTTTAGTGTAAGTCTTTATGATCAATATTGAGATTTAAGGTTCATAGAATCTAAAATAAAGATCATTAAATACCTAGTATTATTTTTTGTTGATGATTTATACAATACAGTATTATCACTTATACCAAATCTTCCAAAAAATTAATTTTCCAATTACATACGATATTCTAGAAACATTTCATATAGGTAAATTCTTATGTTACTTTTTTTTTAAAATTTATTGTAAAAATTTGAAAAAATGTTCACTTAAACTATTTTTTTCCTAATACATAAATGAGGAATTTATGTTTTTTAAAAACTTCATAATTAATTATTATAGGGGAGACCGGGGTAAAACGATAGGCATTTTGCATATTTACCATAAAAATTTTAAACAAGAGTCAAACACAACAAATTATAGATCAATGTGTAGCCCCATCTCTCTTCTACAAGATAAAAAAAAGTGTAGCCCTCTACCTATAATATTTTAGGAGCTATGATTAGTTATGTAAAACTACTCATTTTGGCCATTTTACCCTGGGTACAGGGTAAAATGGATAAGCACTAGGGTAAAGTGGTTAAAATAATATTTGACACATATTTATTGTTTTATTTAACAAATATTACAAATTTAAGATTTATTTATGATTTTTATTTAAAAACTAATCGATACAATAAGGACATGTAAAATAATTATCATAATTAGCACATTTAGAATGTGCCCATTCAAGGCACATTGTACATTTTAGCCATTCATCGTCCTCCGGACTATTTTTATAGTTTTTATTACAAATAACACATAAACAATTATTTTTTGATATCTTTTTTTTTCTCTGAATTAATAATTTTTTTTTATAAGGTGTAGATATTAATATTTCTGAATTCTTTTTTTTAGATATTTTATCCGATGAAATATTGAATAATTTTGGAATAGGTATTATAGATGAAGGATTGAATACTTTATTATAATTTATTGAGCATGGTGGTAACATATCATGATAAGGTTCATCAATATCATCTGGAACATTTTCGTTCAATAATATAGATAAATCACTATCATTATTTTGAGTCACTGTAAGATTTTGAGTCACTGTAATAATTTCATCATTATTTTCAAATTCAATATTTGAGTTAGCATTTGAATTATTACAGCAGATATAATCTTGTTCTGTAAATATATTTGGGTTTAAAGGAAATATGCCACATGCTAAGAATCCATTTAATATATTATTTGATGTCACTGCCCTTGGTATTTGATTTTTTAACACTCCTGGAAATATCATAAATCTGAAATTGTTGCCCCACATGATTTTTAGATTGAGTATTATTAAAATTATGAAATACAATATAATTTCAATTGAGCATTTTTATTAAAGTTACCAAATCAATAATATTTAGATTGAGCATTATTAAAATTATGAAATACAATATAATTTCAATTGAGCATTTTTATTAAAGTTACCAAATAAATAATATTTAGATTGAGCATTATTAAAATTATGAAATACAATATAATTTCAATTGAGCATTTTTATTAAAGTTACCAAATTAATATTGATATTTAGATTGAGCATTATTAAAATTATGAAATACAATATAATTTCAATTGAGCATTTTTATTAAAGTTACAAAATTAATATTGATATTTAAATTGAGTTATTAAAATTATGAAATACAATATAATACAAACAATATAATTTAATTACTTGTTTAGGCGTTAATCCCATAAATGACCTACTTGCTTCTAATATGTAGTCACACAATCTAGATTCTTCTTCATTTGTAAATATTTGTTTATGATGATCTGAACTTTTAATACCAATTTTACATCTCCTTCTCAACGTTGTATAAGGTATGTTAAATTTTTAGCAGACAAATTTAATGAAGTATTATTTGTTATTTTATATTTTATGGCTTCATTTATTATATTTACATCTCTGTATATGGTTTTTCTTTTATAATTTCTCATTATTTGATTGATAAAATAAAAATTATAATAAATGAATTAATGAAAAATTAATGTGAATAATTTTATATTTTAACCGTTTTACCCATAACAGCTTTACCCCTAGGTGACATATATTATAAATATCGTTATTGCGTGACTTCTAATATAGCTAAAGATGTCAGATAAATTTTATTTTATAGCTAATACATTAAGGAACATGTGTGCCAAATTTTGAATCCTGAGAATATGTAAATTTTACTAAAATCAAAATATACTAGAGAATGATTTTTATATTTTTTGGGTAAAAAACAGTTTTTTGACAAAATATTTAAAACCAGGTAAGTTTTTTAAAAGATGAACATAGGTAAGAAATTAGATATAAAAATACATCTTCACACCAAATTTAAGGTCTTTATACTCAATGGTTAAAAAGTTATTTGCGTTAACATTGTTACCCCGTCAATCGCTTTACCCCGGTCTCCCCTACCACTTAATAGTTTAGGTTTTTATTATATCACCAAATAAAACGCATGCTACCTTGTAACTATGGGTCAGACATTGGCCTAAAACAAATTTTTAAAAAATCAAGGCACATGAAAATCTGATTTTGATTGTATTTTCAAATTCATTATGATTATTTAAATATTTTATTTCAGTTCTCAACTATCAAAATTATTATGTCCTTTCATTGGGCTTGGAAGAATTTTTTAAAATTATTATGGCTTTGTAATTTGCCTGGGAATTTTTATTAAATATTATGTATAAGTGATCAGTAATATTTAACAAATAATTGTTATTATCAAGTAAAAGCTTTAAATTATTTTTACTCAAACCATAGTATTTACACTTAGTTTTAATGGAATGACCTAACCTAAAAAGGGGAGGGGGTAAAAAGAATAAAAATTGGATATTATTTTAAAATAACAGGTAGCAACTATCATAAAAGTAAGAAGAAAATTCTAATTCCCGATCATTTTTGGCGGGCTATCTACTAGTAATAAATAAAGTTTCAAAAACACCTAATACTAAATTTTCGATCTATCCACCCGGCTAATCAGGGCCGCAATCCGGCCTGACCAAATCAAGTAAGATCTATAATATCGGAGAATAAAATGTTTTTTTTGCCAACGACTAATTTATACGTGCACCCCTCCCTCGCCTGTCCCGGAAAATGTTCTCCTTGAAATGATGTATATAGAGCACACTCAGTCGCCGAGGTTCTATTTTTTTATATATATAATAAATACTAATTTATTACAAGTTGGACTAGAAGGATAGGAGTAAGGGGTAATTTATTTTCATGAATAATCTAATTTCATATTGATTATATTTCAATTTAACAGACCGAAAAATAAGTAAGAAATCAAATTTAGAACTTGTTTTGAATGATAGTAATAATAGGTAACTGATTATTACATATTCTTGAAGAAGTTCTTTTTTTATGATTTTTTTAAATAGGTAAATTGGAGTATCTCATCACACTGGGCTGCCAAAAATTCCCTTTATTTTATGAATAATTAATGAACCTATATTTTGATGAGAGGTGATTTATATTTTCTTTTATTTTTATAAGGTATGGTAGCAAAATATATATTTATACCTTTTATTTAATAAGGATTTAGGTTAATACTTATTCCAGTGTTGTTTATATCTATACTAGCATATAATCCGTAGAATTAAGGGTGAATCAGATATTTCCCCATTGCTGATGGATGAATTATAAATTTGCCTATCTTACGAGATGTGAACTCAAAATTTTATTTCATTTTAATGATTTTTACATTTTATTTAATAAGGATTTAGTTTAATACTTATTCACGTGTTGTTTATATCTATACTAGCATATAATCCGTAGAATTAAGGGTTAATCAGATATTTCCCCATTGCTGATGGATGAATTATAAATTTGTCTATCTCACGAGGTGTGAACCCAAAATTTTATTTTATTTTAATGAGAGGTGGTTTCTAAATTTTCCATTATTTAAAAAAAAACTTTAATACAGTATATTAGTACCTTCAATATGAACAAATAATGATGTAGGGCATTAATAATTCGTCAACAAGTAATCTATATTAAGGTATGCAAAACCATCATCTAACAATATTTTACAAATAAAGAGGTAAATATTTTAGGCAAAAGTAAAATTTCTGATTCATCATCAAATGAAGGTCTGGTTGGTCTCATACCTGGTTAGCTACTAGTAATAATAATATTAATAAATTCAAAGTTGTACCTTTAAATTTATGCGTGAGGAAGGAATCTATAAATGATGATATTTCTCTCGTCAACAATGGATTAAATATATTTTGAGTTGCTAATTTTAAATATCCATTATAGTCCGTCAAAAAGGCGTTGGGCTGCCCAATTAGAGGAGCACTTGGAATGGTGAATAAATTATCGGAGAATGGAATTTTGAAAGCAAACGCAAAATCAGACCCTATTCAATATTATAACAATGTGTTAAGTAAAAAAAATAAATAAGAGATGGGAAATACCCTGAAGAGGTCCAAAAGTGTAATCAATTTGGCGAATGGGTTTCCAAGAAAGACCCTCTTGATATTCACCATTATAGATGGCCAATAAAGCATTGTTTTTGATGATTTCGGTTCCTACCTCTCTTCCCAACATTCGTTTCACTACGTTATCGAATTTGGATGGCTTGCCATCAAATTGCTCCAACAATGATATGTGCACGAAAATGGGATCACCTATTAACTTTTATAATCAAACTATTTTCTTAAATTATTGCATTTAACTTGTATGTATTTCCAGGGCTGGGAAACAAAAAAAAAAATTTGAAGTTCAGAAACAAATTTGTTTTAATATCCAAACAAAAACAAACTCAAATTTTCAAAAACTATACCTACATTTTTTTTAATATTTGAAAAAAAGGAATTTGTATTATATTTTTTTTAAATCTAATTTGCTTGAAATTAGTAGTAACGTGAATGGAAAAAACTATATAATAACAAAAATTAATATTTTTAAATAATCTAAAACAACAAAATGACTTAAAAATTCCAAATGTTTTTAATTTTCCCGGCTCTAATTTTATTAATTTAGATATACCTCCTCACTATGCTTGATAAGAGGATGCAATATGGCATGGCCATATTTATCGATAATAAAATAAGAAACGGAATTCCACGTTTCTTTTGATAGAATTTTTTCAATCGAATCTAAGGTTACATCGATTCCTACCACTCCAATAAATCTAAATTATATATATAAACATAAACAAACAATATTTTAAACCGATTCAAAAGATCTAACTTTTATCTTATTAAGCAACAAAATTAGTAATTTATAAATCATTATAGCAACCACAAAAATAAAGGCATCGCATCGCGGCCTAAAATACAAAAATAATGGGAAATAGCATAGGTATTAGTGATAAACATCCTAACTATCATCGTACTTATTATAAATGTGGGCTTTATAAATATTATGAGTATTTTATTTTTGATTACTTTCCGTTTTTGTTGCTAAAAACGGCCTTTGATGCTGTAATAATGAGTTCGGAATTAAGGGCATCTAAATACGGGGATATCCATATTTGTTCGGATGATTCATGACGAGCATCAAATAGGCTTTGCAAAAAGTGATAATAAGGGGAAAGGGCTTTGAAAGTGCGTATCTTGTGATCCCAAGCTTCTATGTTTAATCCATAATTTTCGCAAGAAAATTTTTTAACGTAAGAATGAGCGTGTTCAGAAACAGTGAATGTAAATATGAATGCCTTTTAATGTAAAAATCAATTTGATTTAAATCGCTTTAAATCAAGATTTTTTTTAAATCATTGATTTAAATCAATTTTTTGTGTTCATAATTTAAATATAGTCTATTACATGTTTTTAAAGCTTACTACAACAATTTTATGTTTATTTTAATATATCTATTTCATCCTTCTACTGTTTGATTCTTCCTTCCAATGATTTAATCTCATTATAGAAACACAAATAATTTCCTTTTTATGACCAGCTACAAATGAATAAGAAACAATTCACGTTCTAATATAAAATTAATCAAGTAAATATAAATTAAAATTATTATAAAAAAAGTATAATTTTAATTTCACCAATGGTCATCAATTTTCATTTAAAATTTGGTTTAAACAAAATTTTTATAAGGAATATTTGGAATTTAAAAAAATCAATGATTGAAATACACCTTGCTTTTAATATAAGCAATTGGCTACATTCAATCTTCCTCCGTACATATCGTCGGTCTCAATACAAAACTTAATAACTAACTGATGTGCATGTGATTTTACGATTATGATTTGAATTTTAAATTGAATTTTTATAGACGCCCTCTGATGAGCATTTTAAGTAATTAACAAAAAAAATTATTAATTATTTTGGCAATTAATAATTGACACATGAGTTAGATCATGTGAATCATCTTATAATTTTATATAAGAATATATAAATTTTTTATTTTTCATTAGTATTTTTTTATTTAAAAAATAACATATTAAAATGAAATTAAAAAGTTGTATAAAATTATGGATTTAACAATTAATTCCCATAAAACCATAATTATATTTAAAATTTCTTTTTGTTTTTTTGTCTAATATATTAAAAATTATTTGGCTTTTTAGGTAAAATGCCTAATTTTACCGCTAAGACTTTTTAAAAATTATAGCCAAAAAAAATCATTAGTTGATGTGAAAATTGGAATGGAAATAAAATTGTTGAGATCCTTATATTATTTGGTTTCAATCTGAATAAGCGGATTGAGGTTAGTGGAAGGGAATGAAGGGAAGCAAGTAGTCCTATATTAAAGATTTATCGAGAACCCACGGAATACTTGTCAAACCATCAAATCTTAAGCCGCCTTCGTGTGATAGTTGATGCAGATTAGAGACTAAGAAGAATATACAATTATTGTTAGGAAATATGTTGATATTGTAATTAAATTCTTATTAAAGATTGATGCTTAGCTTTTATTTTAAGGGCTGCGAGAGATAAAACAGCCTCAATGATCTGATATGTGAATAAGATACGCATAATTTGATAATATTTAGTAAAATATTAGGTTGTTGATTAACCAAAATCTTCATAAAGAAAAACGACTTTCATCATTAGAAAATTTATGCCGCAATCGAGTTCAATTATAGATCAGTTTTATTTTGATCAATAATAAGATTTGAGAGCAAGCATGCAACTTTATTCTAATAATAGCAGAAAGAAAAACATTTAGAAATATACATGTCAGTGACTTTTCAACAAAGTGTATGCGAAAAACTATAATGATTAGATCTCATTGGTTGTTCAGAAAAGTGGGTGTGAAAACCATAATGATTAGAGTTCAGTGGTTGTTCAATAACGTGGCTGCGAAAACTTCAATGATTAAATTTCATTGATTTTTCAACAACGTATGTGTGAAAAAAGAGATGTATATTTCAGCAGTTTTTTAACAACGGGTTTGTAAGAAGAAAAATAGATATTATGTTTGGCTTTAAAAACTGGTCCAAAAGGGCATAGAGACCTTAAGATAAAGTCGATATCTCGGCAATTGCAAACTGTCGTAGAAGACCCGGAAGTCTAAAAGATCTATATGGTTACAAGATTTAGATGCAAAGAACCAATCAATTACCAGAGACGTTGGAAACAAGCGGCTAGATACAACAAATGGTCAAGACGTTCAAGCTGCAATCGTTAATCGCAGATCAAGTATCGTCAATCGTTTACCGAGATAAAGCGCTAATCATTTATTACAAGAGAATGGTAAAAACAAGCAACAAGCTAGGATAAATTGTAAAGAAATTCAGATGGGTAATAGAAGAAACAAAAGTTGAATTCATAGATATTCGTTTAAAAGCAATCGTAATCAATTACCAGTTATAGTCAATTACACGATAAAGTGCTATTAGTTACAAGAGAATCTTAGAAAACAAGCAAAGAATAGGATAATTCATCAAAAGAATTTACGATGGACTTTAGAAGAACAAAGTTTGTAAAGAAAAAATAGTATCAATCGATAATTGTTGATTAGCAATTGTGAATTGTTGAAAAGCAAGCTCTCTAACTTAAGTGGAAGGGTGTTGTAATATTTAGATGAAAACGAAATATGTATTATTCAAATTAGAAGTTTTATTACAATATTATAGACTCAGTAAATGATTATTAAAGAAAAGATATATAATTGAGATTTTATGAATTTTATACCACTTTCCAATTTTTAGGAAAGTATTCTTTCTTAATTTTTATTTTGTTTTAACCTTTTACCTTTTAATTTTTATATCTGATTATCTTATAATTATCTAATAAAGTGATAATAAAATTATTTTATTTATGTTTATATATATTCTGATTATTCAGTTCTTTCTATTTCAATCTATTCTCTAATAGTTACCTCAATTTTGCTTACTAAAGTTTACGACTAGAAAGTGCTTTTACCATTCGTGACTACCAAATCTGTCTTATTATAATTTGGTATGAAATGATATAAACCCAGGGACAAGGAACGGAACTTGAGTAAATTTATAGAACGGAACGTGCATTCCGGAATTTTCCTGGAAGGTTCCTAAAAATATATATAAATTTATTATTTATTTCTCTAATTAAAAAAATTTTAATCCATCAAGTGTTGCATTGCATATATTAAGTTCTTTTTATTTTCTTTTATAGTTTTTTAATAATAATAAATAATCATTAATCATAACTAGCAAAGTAATAACAATTAGCAAACAAGTAGTAAATTAAAAAATTAAAAAGAAGAGAAGTATTTTTATCAAATTTAATTTTAATTTTTTTTCTAAAATTTTAATGGACTGATGATAATAAAAAATCATCCATAGCCAGGTAAGTTTTGAACGTTGTTTTTCGACAATTTATACTAACATCACAAAGAACCAATATAAATGATAATCTTTTAGAAAATATGTTATTGTTTGATATAATAATTGATTCAATTAATGATTAAATAATGGTTAATTAAAATGTTTAGATTTAAAAAATATTTTTTCTAGCGTTCGGATGGAACGGCTAGGGAACTGAATAATTTTTTTGACCGAAACGGGACCAAAATACCCTTGTTTCGGGTCCCTGGATGTAACACTTTTTATTGGTATGAAAACAAGGGGTAAATAATATTTTTAGCAGTTCACATGTATAACTTGCAAATTACACCTTTGCCAGATTTTCATAAACCCCGGCAATGTCTTAGATTCGTTATTATCCTTTTTAAATGATATAATTAAAAATCTTCCAGAATTTTTGTAAAAATGTCCTATTATTAGTAGCTAAAATGACCTTACATAAAATTTTAAATATTTTGGGGAATAAGTTAAAAAAATTATTTTTTTATCACAATCTGTCCAAATTATATCATATCAAGCACGTTGGTCATGGACCTGCCCAAAATGAGCGAACGTGAATTATATGGAAGCCCTCCATATAATTATGCCGATTTTTTTCTCAAGGATACCAACAAACCTTGTAACTCAAATGTGTTTTATCATGAGTGGAACTATACCCTATCTAATTATAATATTAAAGTATAGTATAGTTATGAGTGTATAGGAGAAAAGAGCGAGAAAAAAGAAAACTATTTCTTCCAAATACAAAAAGTTATTATTTAATTAGTTAGGTTTAAGATATTGAGAAATTTGTCTAAGGACGTTATAAAAAGCCTAATTAATTTTTGTTTAAGTGTTGTAAGTATTTATAATTAGTATTTAATAATTATTTAGTAATTTTCCTATAATCCGTAAAGGACACATAGGTTATCTTACTTAGTATTGGAGACCTATAATATTATGATGGGATATCTAACTTTTATATTATAATTTCACTATATAATTGGAGTCATACTTTATTAGGGCCTATAGAGATCTCTTAATCTACATTTATATGAGTTTATATATCCTTAGTCATGATGAATTATACTTCTACACAACGAATGACCTTAAAATAGCCCTTATACATTATTACTTTATATCAGTAGCAAAATTGGAACTAGATAATATCAATTTCGAACTAAAGTATCTTAATATCATTTCTAAAAATATCTTCCTCTCAATCAGTTTTCATTTATATAGAAACAATATCATTTCTTATAGTAACTTCCTCTCAACCGTCATTATTTATATAGAAGCTGGATATCATTTATTAAATACTAACAGTTAAAGAATATTGGAGAGCCTTTCTTAAAATATCATATTAGAGACTAACTATCGATAAAGAATTAGAGATTTTTTTAAAAAAAATAGATATATGATTACCTTTCTAAAAACTCAGCAGTCATTCGTCAGATGCTCATAGATTAGGATTTATTTTAGTATAAGGAATTCGGAAGACGAGAGATTATTAAAATTTGGTGATATGATAAATGCTATATAAGTTATTTTTATAGTTTATATATTTTTCGATATGTGGAATAAATGATTATAATAAAGTTTACTATAATAGCGACGAAGGATTCTATGAATAAAGAAGAAAAACTACTAACTGAATTTATCAGTGTTTTTGATGATAAGTCAAGACTAGTTAATGATTTTGAAGTTAGCATACATCTTAGTGAGGTAGCATGGCCGAAATCATATCCAGCATGTAAAGTACCTTTTCCATTACGAAAACCAATTGAAATGGAACCTGATTTATTTATTAAATCAGGATATTGAAGGAGATTGACCCAAGAAAAACTGTATGACATGGGCTACTCCAACAGCAAAAGTGCGTAAAACAAATGGAGAAATCAGGATTTGTGCGGATTTTAAGGTTACATTAAACC